CGGAGGCAAATGTAAACGTGTGTGTGTAATATGAGAGAATAAAAGCAGTGGAGCAGGTAAAAGGAATAAAGCAGGAAGGGGAAAATAATGAGTAAAAAAAGAGAAGGAACCAAGAGCAGTAATATCCATTAGATTTATTGTGCCGCAATTCCCAGTGCCTCCAGTTCTTGCCGGAGGGGTACTATATTGTATTTCATCACACTTTCATTTTCTGGCTCAGATGAGAAATGGGAGTTGGGCAGCTGTAATGTAGCATGTATGTGTTAAATCTCATCTCTAATAAAATCAAACACATCACAACTTTGGCTCTTTTGTGACAGCGCCACGGCGAAATGAAATGCCATCTGTTATCGTATCAGCGCCGCCTTATTAGAACATAAAAATCAAAGGCAGCCGAGGAGGAAGGATGAGTATAATGAACACTGGGGATAATGGGATGTGATGGAAGATTGGCTTTAAAAGAAGAAGATAGGTCTTTTTCAATCATTGTGGCTATATTTTCTGAGCGTAATAAGTATATAGTGCATCAAAGGCATACATGCTTTATTTCATGGTAACATCCAACTGAAACATGGATATATCCAGCACTAGTCTGAAAATACACTGCTTATGTCGGCGTTATCAATAGTTTAAAAGATGTTGCTTCACAAATGACAAGAAAAAAATATTTTGTCTTGTGCACTGCACTAAAGAAATACAAATATAGAGTTCAAAATGACTAGAAAGAAACATTGACATAATAGGTTAACATCTGCGAAAGAAAAATGAACAAATTAGATCGTTTATGTGATGCAAAAGAAAAGAAAATTAAACTAAATGAAGATTAAGAAATTTCCCACGGTGGGGAAATATTAGTGTTGTATCGCAAGTTACAGAACAGTAGGAATGAGAAGCACACAACACAAATCTGGATCAGACTTCAAAAGGAATATGAAGCAATTAGAGCTCTGGCTTACACGAGCAAAAGCTGAGCTGATTCACAATCCACAGAGTCACTTTGGGCTTGTATAATGGCACTTGTAATCAACTCTATTGTAAATTCAAGCACTGTTAATGACATATTCAATATGCATTGACACAAGTGTAACCAAATCATTGTGTTCTTTTTACCAGAGATTATTGAGAGCAAGACTATTTCAACCAAAAACATCATGGGGACACAGCACCGGTCTGGTGGCATCGCTTGTTTAGCTATTTATCAATTTAGTTTGTTTATCATATATACTTTGAGAACATGTAAAGACTTCAACATTTCAGTATTCTCCAGCATTTTTATTTAACCAATAAATTATAATGTTTCTCAGTCAAAATTATTTTTGTTTCCATTGTAAGTAACGGTGAAAAAATAAATACAGAGTAAAATTTTAATATATAAATACATATAAAAATGATTAACTGTGCAGATTATCAATACAATCAATGTAAGTGATAATTAAGAAGTGTCCAGAGCCCTTATAAGGTGGCAGAAGTATGGTTGCAAGGGTAATGGGTAAAAAATTATGAATGGATGCATGAGTAACATGTGAAGAACAGCTAACCTTCAGATGAGTAAGATTTGGTATTTTTGGCTTCTCCTTTCACCTGTTTGGGAAAAAAATATGTTCATCCGTTTCCTTGTTTGGACCTTGTTCGGTGAAGTGTGTTTAACCACCCAGAGCTAATGCCACAATAGTAGAGCTCTGATAACCGTCATTTAACTCAATGTCACTCCTGCTAGTGAGAGTATGGAGTCATTCAAATAGCATGATTTCCCATTGAAATGAACAACAGTGGCCGCTTTCATGAGCGACTGGAGAACCTCGATGGCCACAGAACAATCATATATTGGCATTCCACAAGTGTCCCATTAAAATAAATGTTCTCTGTGATTATCTCATCATTAAAAATAAAGGCAGAGAAAACGGAATTTCTGTAAAATATTTGGAGACAATGAGACAAGGAAAATCTCACATTTATTTGTACCTCCTTCATTCACTGACACAACTTTCTCAAAATAAACCACCACGTTGATTTTTGAGATTATGCTATGATGATTTTTCTTAAACTGGAAACAGGTGCAGGTGCAAAATGGGAACAATAATATTGCTGTGATGCATGACAAAAGTTACCTGGGACCACCTGGACCACAACCTGGAACAACGGGGAGGCTTTATAGCAGGCTGCTGCCACCTATAGGCGACTCTAAGCATAGTCACACAAGCACTTTCTATTTCTGTCACATATGAATGACTTGGAAATAATAGGATGAGCAATTATTTGAGCAACTGCAGTGAAAAACAAGTTCTTCACCTTGTTAGCAGAAGTCATTTCAAAAGTCCTGTAGATTCTCCGCAGGCTATGAGAAGAGGTCTGAATAAGGTGCATGAGGCGTGTTGGTGTTGTCTTAAGTCTTTTGCATGTAATTGTTTTCTTGTCTCAGCTGACAGCAGGAGGGAGTGCTTCTCTTAGTTGTGACATCAGTGCTTCTGCGTTGAGAGTAGCACGTGGTGACAGCGTTCTCATAAAGCAGCCCATTAGCCAAAGGAGTGAGGGGTCAGATGCAAGAGTTTCATAATGGGTCTGTATCAGATAGCTAACAACAGGTGGGGGGTTTGGAAATGTTGTGGCACTACCAATAATACCATATGGCAGTTACCAAACGTGGTAAGTGATAGCGTTGCTCTCCTCACAGAATTCTTAACTAGGGCAAATCTGTAGAAGAAAACAAAAGGCTGAAAATAATTTGCACTCTTTTGCTTTGTCAATTTCTGTGCCCGATCTCCCGATAGTCATTAAACAAGTTGTGAGGTTGTTTTAATTATCAATAGTAAAGCAATCTGTTCATAATTACAAACATTTGCTCGTGGCAATTACAAAGTGTGGCTGGTAGCGGTTTAATTTGCCCGCTCTAATCTCGTCTGTAATTAGAGCACACACAAGCAGAGCAGAGTTGTTCAGCTCCGAGGGAAACAAGACAAGACTGAATTTCCCATTAAAACAAAGTGTTGAGAGCTCGCAGCACACAGGCACATACGCTCTGACCGGCACTCCATGTGAAACACTTAATTTAAAGCTCTTTGTTTGGTTTCACACACTGATTGGATGTCAGCGCCTTCTTTCAACACTCATGTTTGAAGTTATGCTGCGTGTCATTGTCTACATGTTTGAACTGACTGGAGATTTGATGCTCAATTTGAATGCATATTTTGATCATAAAAGATAAGACCGAAGAATCAGTGCAGATCAGTTCCAAAACCATTCACACACACACCATAACTATTTAGACTAGCCCCATATTTTATGATTTTATATTTGTTTTATTTATAAGTACAATTGTTAATGTTGTATCAAATAAACATTATCTTTTTTTTTTGATGTACTGTGATTATTTATTATCTAGTTGATCTAGTTTTGTCAAGCGCTTGCCTTGTGTATAAACTGTGCTATACAGTACATCTAAACTTTTGCCATAACTTTTTATTTTAAGGTTAAAGTAAACTATATTCATCCCATTTGACCCATCGTTCAATGCCAAAAACCTTTAGGAGCAGGTTCCCCCCGCAGCAGCAACCTCCCCTCAGTGGAAGTCGAATATCATTTACAAATTGTAGATGTTGTTAATTCATTGTTTACTCCATGACTTCATCAATAAGTGATGAACGATAACTTTAAACCAGGTTCCAGAAATCACTGATGTTCAGCCAAAATCTTGGTAACACTTTATATTAATGACTGTTGAGTTGAGGTCGGGTGGTTTTTATTACACGGTTATTACACATAAAATTAAATATGTTTTTGTGCCAATGCAGGGGTATTATGTGTAATTTGAAACCATAGTCTGTTTACAAAAGTGCCATCTATATAATGTGTCCACCTCTCAACCAAAAATTGATATGGTATTGCAACTTTTATCACTTCAGGTCCAGCACTGTAGGTCTTCTTTGGTGATGCTGTACATGTAAAATAAATTGTTTTTCCATACAAAAATTCCAATTGAAGGAACAATCCATAAATTATTGCTTCATTTTAATAGAGGGGACACAATCATAATGAAATCATGATGTATTAAGGATTGGCTAATGATGAATTCATGACTGCCGTAAATGTTGTCCTAGAAAGTTGCACATTGTGTTGTCCATATTTTGCAGTAGATTTGAGTAATGATCATGATGTTCATGTACAATCCTCATGATCATGATAGGTTGATAATTTTATTGTCATTTCATTGCTGTTTCAATAAATTCATGGTATTATTATGTGATCCTCATGATCATGATGATTCTTTAAGATTTTCATGTAAATTCATTACAGTAGTTCAACCATTAATTCATGGATGAAGTCATCCATGAACCAACATTTAATCATGTTAGTTCATGAGAATTCATGAATGTATCATGGAATCATACATTAATTCATGCATTAGTTCATGAGAATCATGCATCAACTCATGTACCATTAATATAAAGTGTTCTAGTATCCCCAGTGTTTCCTCTGGAGGAGCCCTCTGCACTGCAGAGCTGGGGTCTGCTGTGGCTGTGGGGGTCTGGCTCTTGGATCTAGTGGGAGTCTGGGGCCTCCTCTCTCCTCTGGGTCCTATGAGGGTCTGACTCCTGGACCTGGTGGGGGTCTGGGGCCTCCTCTTTCCTCTGCCCCTGGTGCAAATAACTCCTTGGATGGCGCTTCTTCAACTGGATACATCTGAACCCAGCCCTACATCTTTTAATAGTTTTACCTATTTTACTTATTTTTGTATGTTTGTGTGAGTGTGTGTGTGTGTGTGTGTGTGTGTGTGTGTGTGTTTGCGTGTGTTTTTTTGTGTGTATGCATGTGGGTTACAGTAACTTATCAATAATCATGGTTTTTGGGTGGGCATCTTGGATTGTTATTAACTAAACTGTAAAGTGCCAAAAGCATTTTGCGTTGCCTTTTATGTATGAAAAAGCGCTTTATATATAACATTTGATTGATTGATTGATTCCCTTCTCCCCATTTCTCATAAGATCTCATTGTCATATCAGTGCATGTGCCTCTTCAGGTTTGTGTTGCTAGGGTCATCTGTTGCTACAGTATGTGCATCTTCTAAAACAGTGCATCTTTTGAATCAGAGCAAAACTTTGGCTGTGACACAAATTGTTTTCGTCAAACATCACTCGAGGATTTCTTCCACCAGGAGACATCACTGCTGACCACTGATACTCAGACCACCTGCTGACACCTGCTGACCACTTCTGTTCGGACTGTGAGACTGTTGACCACAAAACGTGAGATTTTCCACTTTCCCTGTTCTGTGGCTGCATTATTGGCCTGTGTTAGTCAGACACACAGTGACTTGGGTCAAAGTTAAAGCAGGTTTATGTGAGTTTAGACACATCTATTAACATTTAAGGACATTGGTCCTTATACTGTAGTCCAATGGCTTAGACGGTTTGATTCTCTGATCGGTGTTGGCAAGTCCACAATTCTTTAAAGTCCTTCGAGATTACTACTGTTGGGATTTAGAGTTATACAAAAATACATTGAATAGAATTGAATTGAGTATTAGTGATGTTGTGCTGTCAGCTCCTCCAGGTGTATCCTAAAGTATCATAAATTGATTAAACAATTATGAACCAAAGTGCTAAAGTACATGAAACCACAGCCCTGCAGCTGGAACAACCCATTACACTCATTTAAAGCTGGGACACCTGACTTTTAAACCACAAAATATGTTATAAAATCCCTGTCTCTGAAACAGTTTTCACATGCATGTATTCTTGGCCTCTATCACGGGGCTTTTTCTTTCAAGTATCAGCCTTATTATTAGATTTGTATGAAACAGCATGTTGAGGTCTGAACAGACTTTTTGTTGGGAAAAAAACATGAGGTATTAGTTATGTAATAAACAAAAGTATATTTAACACAGCTTTAAAGTAACTTCACTTACATACTTTTACATACAAGATGAAAACTTGTACTGTTTTGAGAGTAAGGAATTGATTATATGGACAATGTGCTCCGCTCTGCAAGGAGGACTGTGTGCTGTCGGTTCTGCAGGTTATTTATGAATCCAGATTCTTAAACTGAGATTATTCTTGTTCTTTTAGCTTGTTTTAATCCTGTACTTTTAGCTTGTTTTATTCATACCTGTCTGGTGCACACTGGGAACGTTTGCAGTTTTACAGTAACTGGCAAATTATATGAATCTGAATAAGTAAATATATTCTCAGAAAACAATGAAATGATGAATGTAGTGGCTCTCTGTTGTGTGAAATGTTTGCAGAGATGTTTGACATGTTCTGTTCCTCCACAGATCCTTGTCCTCCTTCCCCATCAAATCTCGTGGACAGGACTCTGCTTTCAAGCTAAGTCCTCACTCTCTAACACTATGCCTGGCTCTTCTGCTAGCTTCTCTTTGTCCGGGAGGACCTCTCTCTACTTCTCTTCTTCTCTCCCCCCTCGCCCTTCTGTTCCTCCTCCTCCTCCTCCTCCTCCTCCTTCTCCTCCTGGTACTAAGTCTAAGTCTAAGTCTCGCTCTGCTCCTAAGCTCCCTAAACCTTACTCTGCTCCTGCTGTTCCTCGCTTGGTCCCTGTGTCTTGGCTCCGCACTGTTCAATCAACTTTATTTGTATGGCGCCTTTCCAACACAAGGCCACTCAAAGCGCCTCACAACCCACATAATATCAGACAAATCAGAGACATCAATAAATACATTAAAAACAGAATAAAATCACAAGTAATGGAAAAAAAAAAAAACCTTAAAATATTAAAAGCACACACGGGATTAAAATAATAAATAACCACAATGCATTAAAAAAAAAAGAGTATGTATCAATAAAATCCTTCAGCCGTATGCACAGCTAAAAAGAACAGTTTTTAGCCCTGATTTAAAAATTGCCAGAGTAGGTGCTAGCCTCACATCTTCAGGAAGATTGTTCCAGATTTTAGCTCCATAAATCTCAAACGCTGCCTCCCCATGTTTAGTTCTGACTCTTGGAACCAGTAAGAGGCTACCTCCTGTGCTCCTCAGAGTCCGGGCCGGTTCATATGGGACTAACAAGTCGCTTAAGTACTTTGGTGCAAGGCCATGGAGAGACTTGTACACAAGCAGTGCTGCTTTGAAGTCTATTCTCTGAGCCACAGGAAGCCAGTGCAGAGACCTGAGAACTGGACTAATGTGGTCATATTTCCTGGTCCTGGTCAGGACTCGAGCTGCAGCATTTTGGACATACTGCAGTTGTTTTACAGCCTGTTTGGAGAGACCTGTGAGCAGGCCATTGCAGTAGTCTAACCTACTGGAGACAAATGCATGGATGAGAATCTCCAGATCTGATTTAGACACTATGTTTCTAATTTTGGCAATGTTTTTCAGATGGTAAAATGCTGCTGATGTTACTGATTTGATATGACTGTTAAAATTTAAGTCTGAGTCCATTATAACTCCTAGGTTTCTGACCTTGCCTACAGGTTCCAGGGAGAGAGACTGGAGGTGACGAATAACGCTCTCTCTTTGTTTCTGAGGACCAAAGACAATCAATTCTGTTTTGTCTGCGTTTAGCTGAAGGAAGTTATTTTGCATCCAATCACTAATCTGTTGAGTACAGTGAAGGAGTGATTCCACTGGTCCATGTTCTCCTGCAGTAAGTGAGACATAAATTTGAGTGTCATCAGCGTAATTGTGGTAGGATACATTGTTGGAGCGTATTAACTGACCTAATGGCAGCATGTAAATATTGAACAGAAGAGGCCCTAGAATTGATCCCTGTGGCACTCCGCAGGTCAGAGCCATATGATCTGAGACACAGTTTCCTATCTGAACCAAGTATTTCCTGTCTTCTAGGTAAGACCTAAACCAACTTAGGGCAGTCCCAGTGACACCCACCCAGTGCTCTAGTCTCTGCATGAGGATCTCGTGGTTGACTGTGTCGAACGCAGCACTCAGATCCAACATTACTAAAACTGTGACTTTTCCTGTGTCGGTGTTAAGTCGGATGTCATTTGTAACCTTCACTAGTGCAGTCTCAGTGCTGTGATTGGCTCTAAAGCCGGACTGGAGCGCATCAAAGGAACTATTAGTTACTAAGAATTCTGTAAGTTGTTGGTAAGCAACTTTTTCCAGAATTTTTCCCATAAACGGCAGATTTGAAATGGGGCGATAATTCTTAAGAACTGTGGCATCTAGACTCCTCTTTTTTACCCTGGCAGGATCCTCTCTCGTCCTCCTCCCTCTGCTTATTCCACTCCTTCTCAGCGCTCCTCTCGCTCTCCTCCTCGTCCTCCTCCTCGCTCTGCTCCTTCTCCTCCTTGCTCTGCCCCTCCTCCTCCCAGGCGTCTTCAGCTCACCTCCCTGACTGACTCTTGGTTCGCTCCTCTTCCGTGCGTTCGTAAAGTTCCCAAACGCACTCCTACTCCTAAGTCTGCTCCTCCTGCTAAGGTTAACTCTGTTGTCCCACAGTCCGAGCCCACCCCTGCCATCCCTGGACCTTCCTCGGCCTGGGCGGTGTCTGAGAAGGCCCAAAAGCACAAGCGCAAAAGGTCACGTGAGCCGGACACCAAACATCCACCCAAAAAGCACAAGTCTTGTTAAGAATTGATGCACTCTCTGCTTTGTTTCTTTCAAGGAGCAGAGAGGAACTGGGGCTCACAAGACCGCGTCCTGGTGATGGGTGATGTATGACTGTGTAAATATGTATATAGTTGGATCCCAGTTTGTTCCCTTTTAAAAAAACACAAAACACAAAAAAAATTACGTTTGTTGTTGTTATCTTTTGCAGGATCCTTGTTTGATCTTTTATATAGGTTACGTTTGTTACTATTTTACTGGATCCATGTTTGATCCTTTATATAGGTTACATTTGTTGCTGTTATAATTGTTGTGAATCCCGTTGGAAAATAAAACAAAAAAAAAACATGTTTGTTTTGTACCATTAACAGATAGGTTATGTCTGTTACTGTAATGTTATTGTTGTAGACGGATCTCTGTTGGATCCCTTAAAAAAAACACACAAAAAACTACTGAAGCCACAACACTAGCCTTTCTTTAATATATCTCAGCATGTCGAATGTGCCCTAACATTTTTGATATAGCTGTGATTCACAGGTTTGTTCTTTAGGATAAAAAAGAGGAACAAGAACAAAAGTAAATATAGTGTAAATAGTAATTGCCACATTACTTCAAGAGACTTCCTCTGTTATAGATTTTAAAATGCAGTAAAACGTTGAAAATGGCCCAACCAGGAAATATACTGTACAGGTATAGCATACATAGAGTTATTTCTGTGTGATGAAGTCCAGTAAATTAATTTGTTTGTTGTTTATGACCAGTGAGGTGGAACAGATGAGTTGAGACAGTGGAGAGGCAGAGTGGAGGAGGAGGGTTTTACACGTATTCACATTGAATACAGGTAAATCATCATATGAACATGTCTCTCCTCCCACTTCAATACTTTGTTGTCTTCAGCACATTAATTATGCGTGATGGAAAACCAGAAGATAAAAATGAATGGAAAGTGCCAGACCAGAAGGCACAGGGCAACTCTGAGACAGACAGAAGTGACCAGAGTAGAGCGAGACAGTGGAGACAGAGTGAAGGAGGAGGGCTCAACCCATGTGTTTATATTAAATACAGGTAAATCATCCTATGTGCAGTTTTGTGTGTCCCTCCTCCTCTTCATTGTATTTTTGTACTACTCATTAGGACACATCAGAGGCCAGAAGTCCCGAGAAAAATACCAGATGTTGGAAAAAATGAAGGATCCCTGACCAGAATCAAAACACATGTCATGTCAGAAAGCCAGAAAGACACCAAGTGATGCCACGACAGATTCCAGTCTGGACGCCACAAAACATACGCCAGACCAGAAGCCATAGAAGGCCTGATGGAGAACCAGATGCCACAAAAAGTCCAAATGTAAGAACTGGTGTTAGACCAGATGCCAGTAAAAAGGAAGATACCAGATTCACCAAATGCCAGAAAGAAGACCAGATACTAAAAATTGTTGCCCAATCAGAGGTAAACAAATAGAAAAGGTGCCTGACTAGATGCCACAAGAAAACCAGATGGAAGACTAGATGTTAAAAGAAACACATGCTAAACCAGATGCCACCAACCTGCGGAGAGATTGGTGGAAGTGGAAGACAGTGGAGAGACGGAGTGGAGGAGGAGGGTTATATTCATGAGATCATATCAAATGCAGGTAAATAATCGTTAGGAACTTATTAATGTGTTGCTCCTCCCACTCATTGTATTTTTGTCTTCATCATTAGGACACATAAGATAAAAGACAAGGTCCCAGAAAAATGCCGGACCAGATGTCACTAGAGATCCAGATAGCAAGAAGCTCTTTCTGAGTGGAGTCTGCATAGGTTTCCTACGGATGCTCCGGTTTCCCCTACACTAAAAATATGTGGAAAAATCCTCCAGCTCTGGTAGTCCTCATCAACATCTGAGCCAGTTTTGACCAACATAGACCTTAATTCAAATGATTTTAAATGACCTTAATAAAGCAAACATGCAAACTTGATTCTGTTCTCTTACTTTCTTGAGACAGTAACAAAGTAATGTAACTAATAACTTTTTATAGAAGGAAGTAGTGATTTGTAACTGTATACATTTTAAAGTAACTTAACCAAAACACTGATGTTCACAAAATATTGGTTCAATTCCACGGTTTCTAAATCATGTCCATGTGGGAGACTGACAAATGAAAATTATGTTTTGAACCAGATCTACTTCCTGTAAACACATATTTGCAGTACAGTAGTTGAATGCATGGTTCCCGTCTTCACAAAACCGCATTCATGCATTCAATAAACATCACCTACATTTACTCGAACTCACATAATCGATCACAAAATAATACCATGAATTTACTGAAGCAGCAATGAAATGACAATAAAATGATCAACCTATCATGATCATGAGGATCATACATCAACATCATGACTCATCTACTGCAAATTATGGACGACACAATGTGCAACTTTCGAGGACAACATTTACGGCAGTCATGAACTCATCATTAGCTAATCCTTTGTACATCATGATTTCATTATGATTGTGTCCCCTCGACTAAAGTGAAGCAATAATTATGGAATTTTTGCATGGAAAAACACTATTTTTTATGCAGTAGCATAAAGAAAATGCTACTGCACACAATTTACGCTTGTGAATCAGAACTGAACAGAACTGTCTTTTATAGTTGTGGAAGTCTTGATGAATTCAACAGACAGTGCTCCATGCATCTGTGCACACTTTTCTGGATGCCGGTGAAAAGAGAGCTACATTTGAAATGCCTTTGTGAATAAAGCTGAGCCAAATAGCCAAACAAATCTATGCTAGGCGGAAGAATAACTTACACGGTGAGTCCTTAAACCATGTAAAGAAGGTGTTTGTAGCAACTGTACACTTTTTCTTTCATGAAGCTCATACTGTTGGAATATTTGGAATGATCAAATACTTATTAGTAATGATTGACAATATCCTACTAAAGTAAACATGATCTAAATGCTCATGTCTCAATAGTTCATATTTTTTCCAAGTTCCTTGAAATATCAGTTCTAATGGATATTGTTCAACTTTTATCAGGATATATTGACAATTACAATGCGACAGTGACTCAGTTGGTTGAGCATTGGCCTTAGAGCAGGAAGGTCGAGGATTGGAGCCCACCACAAGACCTTTTTCACGACTCCCACTGATGTCTGCTGTCGTTGTGTCCTTGGGCAAGACACTTAACCCCCCTTTGCCTGAAGCCCCCGCTGAAAGATCAAGGCTCCTGTGGACTCACCCCCTGCAGGAGGATCAGTGAAGGGCTGGTGCTCTGTGTAATGGGTGAAGCTCTCACTGCCACCCCCCCAACCCAGAAATTGGTTAATATTGACAATTAATGATTATGATTTGGAATTGACAGGAATCTATGTGCTACTAAAAAAAACGGAATTTAATTTCGCATCATAAAAAAAGTACATTCACTCAATACATTCCCTTACTGATCATTTCTAATTGAAGGTAGATTCACACTTATTGGTTTACAGTCTTCACAACACCACAGATCTGTTTCAAAAGACTGGACTGACTACAATCACATCTGGACCAGTGTACCTCTGCGGATTTTACATCTCTACTTATGAAGGATGATTTGCCCCAAGTGAACGAGAGATCAACCACACACCCATAACACATAACATCATCCCTTTAGTGGAACCTATGTCACAGAGGAAGAGCATGTCCACATGTGTCTAAGAGCATGCATGTGCAGTGTGCTCTGTGGCCTGGGTACAAATGGTGTTGTATAATGAATGAGTGGTTTACTGTGGGAATATAGATTAGCAGCTGACCCCATTTTCACAGCACCATCTTATTTCAGGAACCACAATATTCAGGCTCGGCTGTATCCCGAGAAGGTTTCAACAGCAACGAAATGTAACGCCAGATTTCAAAAAGGAGTTCAAAAAGTGATAGATGAGGAAAATGTGTATCAGTCAAAGTCACTGAAAAAGATAATGTGCATTTTAATTGTTCTGGAAATGGTCTTTGTGTGTGGACAAATGGCTTGAACGTGTTTTGCAAATGATATCAGCATCAATGTAATGAAGACCTTATAATTGTATTAAACAATAGCAGCTGCGACACAGGAAACAGCCATCACAGTATTCGCTGCATTTATCATTTCCCCTGAGGATTCTTAATTATTTTTTGTTAAATTGCAAGCATTGATGGCAGGAAATTACGTGTAACTTTGGCATGTTATGAGCTATTTGTTCTCCAGAAAAGAACCAGGCCTCTCCTTTTGTGCTAAACATTGAACCCAAAATGCAATTAGCAATAAAAATAAAGAATTGGCCGTCAGTCTACAATCACCTTGTTTGCCTCTGATGCAATTTTGGATCAATCACACAAAAATAATATTAAAACTAATGATGATGATGACTAACTTTTGTCAAGTTACATAAATTATGCAAAAAATATATACTGTAAATATGCAAGAAATGCAGTGCTATCGTGCTATCCACTCAGCATGGTGGCTGAGTGGATAGCACTCTCGCCTCTCAGCAAGAAGGTCCTGGGTTCGAATCCCGGTCGGACCAGGGCCTTTCTGAGTGGAGTTTGCATGTTCTCCCCGTGTCTGCGTAGGTTTCCTCCGGGTACTCCTGTTTCCCCTACCACTAAAAATATGTACAATAGGTCTGGCATGCGCCTCCTGTACTGGCGACCCCGCTCCCATCTCTGTGTGGAGTGAGAGACAAATGCCCAAAAAATAACAATTGTAAACCGCTTTGAGACTCTGATGTGCAGTGAAAAGGCGGTATATAAATAAAGATTACTAAATAACCACCAGTGTTGTGCCAGTTCACAACTTTTCTGAACTAGTTCAAGTTCAGTTCATACATGCTCAAAGTGAACAGTTCACGTTCAAAGTTCACAATTTTAATTCTGAACTAGTTCAAAGTTCAGTTCATTTTACTTTTTTCGTGAAATAGTCAAATAAATACTTTTTTTCACACTACGAGATATGTATATATATATATATATATATATATATATATATATATATATATATATATATATATATATATATATATATA